CAATATCTTTATCCAATCAACCATTGATGGTTACCAAAGTTACTTTCAGGATTTAGCTATTAAGAATTGTGCAGCTGTAAACAATAGTAATTTTGTATTCCTATAGTATATATCTTAAACTCTTTGAGGAAGATATCTAGAAGGAGGGTAGCTGGCTCATGTGGAATTTCCAGTTTCAGTCCTGCAGAAATCTCCATACTGATTTCTATAGTGGTTGTACTAGTTTATATTCCTGCCAGTAATGCATAAAGATTCCTTCTTCCCCATGCCATGGCAACATTTGTTAGTGTTGGATTTCCTAATAATTACCATTCTTTCCAGAGTAATATGAAATCTTAGCATTGTTTTAATTTGTATTTCTTAATGGTCAGAGATGTTGAATATTTTTTCATGTATCTATTGGCTATTTGTATTTCTTCCTCTGTGAAGTGTCTTTTTACTTCTCTTGCCCATTTCTTGATTGGGTTTTTCATTTTAGGAGGTTTAATTTTCTGAGTTCTTTGCACTAGTTCACAGTTTGTAGAGGTTTCAGTTCATAGTCAACTGGCAGTGAGGCAGGGCACCATGGCAGAGGAGCATTGCAAAAGAAAAACAGTCTCTGACATACATGGCAGGGTAGAGACAGTAGTCTTCCTTCTTCATTCCCTTTTATTCACCCAGGCTAAAAGCCTAATGGGTCTTCCCTCTTTGGTAAGTCTATCATCCATCCCCAGAATTATGCTAAACCAATTAATGGATTAATTCAGTATCACACTCATGATCCAATTACTTCCCAAAGCCCTACCTAGAAGTACATGAGGCTTTGGAGAGACATCTTCCCAAGACATAACAGCTCTTAACTCTTCAGTAATAAAATATTCATCAAAAATGTAGTAAAAGGAAACATCTTCAATCTGATAAGGGCCTTAAATGAAATACCCGCAGCAAATACTGGTGAAAAACAAAATGCTTTCTCGGTAATACTAGGAAAGTGGCAAAGATGTCCACTCTTGGTATGCATACTAAGCTTGCAGTGTACCACTGAACTACACCCCATATTCTTGCCATTTCTCTTTAACATTACACTGGAGTTTCTATTTGGGAAAAATAAAGAAAATGAAACAGAAAGCATTCAGTTGGGAAAGGACAATACAGAATAATGTCCATTTGTAGACACAAAATCATAGAAAATACATTAAAATATTATACAGAGGTCAGCAAGTTTCCAGGATACCTCTGCAACCTGTGCTGCGCTCTTGAGGCTCCCAGGGAGGAGGACCGTGAGAGGATGAGAAAATAAAAGAGGAAAGCTGGGTTGGAGGAGTCCTCTTTCTCGCGATGGGAGAAAAGGAACTGCCTCCTCATTTTAAGGGTATTTATTTGTACATTTAGCAGTTTAATGTTACATGACACTCCATTGCCTACTAATCTGCATGTATAGTAGCCTAAGGGCCTGATGTTTTGGTGGCCTGGAGTTACTTCCTTTTGAGACTTGTCCCAGGTGGTCTGTTCTTCTACCAGCTGCCAGCTCCTGCAGGTGTGGTCAATGTCCAGCTTCAATAGCTCCCAACAGGGTACAAAATCAATAAGGAAGTAATTGCATTTCTATACTCACACAATCTAAAAATAATATTAAGAAGGCAATTCAACCTACACTCACATAAAAAGAATAGAACAGATAGGAATATGGTATAGTTTAGATCGACTGTCTCCCAAAGTCCTCATGTACTCATGGGCAGGGCTGTTGAAAGGTGATTGAATTAAGGAGTCCTTGGCAGACTTGCAGTAAGGAGGGGGCCACTGGGAGTGTGATCAGGGAGGCTGTAATTCCCTTCCCAGTTCTTTGCTTTCTGCCTCCTGGCCAGTGTAAGTTGCATAGCAACTATAGGCATAGCCACTTCCATGACCCACAGCCTCTATCAGAGTGGTACATTGTTACAGTTTAGGAGCTTACATTGACATTATCCTTGCTCATCAAAAAATCTGTAGTAGTTTCTTTTTAGGGTGATGAAAATATTCCAAAATGAACTGTGGTGATGGCTGTACAACTGTTTGGATTTGACATTTGTGGATTCAACCATAATTCAATAAATATTCAGAAATAAAATGTGTTAGGCTAGGTGTGGTGGCACATACCTGTAATCCCAGCACTGCTGAGGCAGGAGGCTCACTAGTTTAAGGAATCCTGGGCAAATCAGTGATTTAATGAGGTCCACTTTTAAAATAAAATAAAAAAAATGCTAGCGATGTGGCTCAGTGGGAAGGCCCTAAATTTAATCCCTAGCACTGCCCCTCACCTGGCCCTGCAAAGTGTCTATATTAAATATACAGAATTTATTTTGGTCATATTGAACACATACTTTTTTTTTTGCCATTATACTCTAGATAGTACCATGGAACGATGATTTAGATAGGATTTACATTGTATCAGGCATATAAGTAATCTGCATATGATTTAAAATATACAGGAAAGATTAAGTGTAGGTTATATGCAAACACTGCTATTTTATATAAGGAGTTTGAGTATTCCAGTTTAGTATCTCCAGGAGGCCTTGGAGCCAATCCCTAAGGGACACCAAAGAAGAGCTATACTTGGTGTTGTGGAATTAACTTTTAAGATGTGATGGTGGTATTGATGTTACATTTATTTAAAAAAAACTATCATTGTATTGAGGTTACATTTATGAAAAAAATTATCATTTAGAAATAAAAAAATATTTGTGGATGAAACAGGTTAAAGACTACTGTCTTGATCCTACCTTATCCCCAGTTCATATATCTTTCCACTACTTCTATAAACTCCAAGTGATCTATTTTCCTTTTTTCAATTTACTTCCTGCCATTTTTTCACCCCAAAATGCATTCCAAGTTGGCTTTTTTCTTCACTGCTCCAGGGTTATAACCAAGTACAGACCACCAGCAATCAACCTGGTTGCTTGTCCTCATCCTCCCATTACCTCCATTGGAATTTCTTTCCTATTCTTATTTTAGTGACCTAGACACCTTTTTCAAAATTTTTTCTGTATGTAACATCTACATGATCTTATGACTTTATTATCTATAGACTGATGTCTCCCAAATTTACAACTCTTGTCTTGACTTCTTTTCTGAATTACAAACTCTTATGTCCAGCTACCTTCTTGGTATTTGCATGTGTCAATTTAATATGCACCTCAATGTAACAGATCAAAAAATAAATTTATTTTCTCTCATCCCCAACCTGCTTGTCCATCTTTCCTGCTTCAATAAATGGCAACTGTATTCTTCAAATTGAAAAAAAAATTGGAGTCACTTTGGACTCTCCTCATTTTCTCAAGGTAAATTGCCATCAAAGCCTGCATGCAATGTTGTTTGAATATGTCCAGATGCTTGCACTTTTCTCAAGACAGAGTGATTCTTTAAAAATTCAAGTTGGAGGGGCTGAGGATTTAGCTCAGTGGCATAAGTGCCTGCCTTGCAAGTGTGTGGTTGTGAGTTGATCCCCAGTACTGATAAAAAGACAAAAAAAAAAAAAAATTCAAGTTAGGATTCAGGGTGTAGCTCAGCAACAGGGTTCATGCTCAATATGCTTAGAGGTCTTGGATTCAGTTCCTAAGCAACAACAACACACACACACTCCAGTCAAATTACATTTTACTTCTCTAGTCAAAACCTTTGTTTTTTTGTCTTTTTCCTTTTTATCGGTACCAGGGATCGAACTCACAACCCCCTGCTTGCACAGCAGGTGCTTATGGCACTGAACTAAATCCCCAGCCCCATAGTCAAAACCTTTGAACAGCTTCCCATCTTACTAAGTAAAAGTCGAACTCCGCTCATGGTATCCTGTTACCTCTGACCTCATTTCCTACTTTTACTGTCTTCTACTCTGCATCTGCCACTCTGGCCTCCTTTCTGTTCTTAGACACTTAGAAGTGTCCTTCTATCTCCTAAGTTTCTGCACTTACTATTTTTTCTCTCTAAATTCCTTTTTCCCCTGACATGGTACATTAATCAGGCCCCCATCTCCTTCAGATCTTTGTAAAATTTGCTTCTCAGTCGGGTCTCTCTGGTATATTTAAACAAAAATCTCTTTTAAATTGTTTTGATACGACTGCAGTACATGATTACATTCCTTGTGGGAAATTAGTACATATATACAAAACATCTTTTTTTTCAATTCCCTTCCCCAACACTTCTCCCCTGGAAAAGTCTTTTTTTTTTTTTTTTTGTCACCCTCAGCACTGATTATTTTTGTATCACTGAGTTATGTTTGCTTGCAGCTTTAACCTACTTTTCATATTATATATTTTGCTCATTACTTTTAAACGTATTTCCTCAATGATGTCACAAGGATTATTTCCTGCTTTGCTAAGTGTCTGGCACACAGTAGTTCTAAGTGTAAGTGTTTATAATGTGTTTACTACATTCTCTAGTTTGTCGCTTAACTAGTACTAGCTTCACAGGAAGTGCATTCCCAAGAGAGACAAGACTAAATAGAAACACTGTCCTTTTTTTTTTTTTGTCTTTTTCCTTTTTATCGGTACTGGGGATCGAACTCACGACTGCCTGCTTGCAAGGCAGGCGCTTATGCCGCTGAGCTAAATCCCCAGCCCTACACTGTCCATTCTTATCATGTCTTACTTTCCATTCTTCTTCACAGTATTTTACTTTTTTTCACTTGAGGTACACTACTCTTCACATTCACTGCACTCCTTTCCAGTACACTATTGACTCCCTCCTGAACTTTTACCACTGGGGTTTCTTCTCTGGAATTACTATCCATCTATTTAAAAAAAACAAAAAACAAAACTGCTTTATTTTCCTCCCTAAGATGTTGCCTTTTCTAGATTCACCAATCTTTCATGTTGTTTCTGCTCTTTCAGTCCACAGTTTACCTTTTCTGCACTACACATAAGGGCCTATGCATGGCTTGTAGGTCCCTGAATTCAAGAGCACATTACCTTACAGTTCTGCATCCCTCTCGCACACTGCAGCAGGAAGTTTGGCACAGACGATACCCTCTAAAACTCCTGGGCGTAGAAGCCGATCCACAGTCTGTTTATTGTGTTTCTTATTATAAAAGTAACACACACATTGTAAACCATTGAGGAAACAAAAGCTGGAGTGAGAAAATAATGATTACCCGTAATTATCTTTGAGAACTAACTGGCAGTAAGAGTGTGTTTTTCTTTAAATTCTTATATTGTTCGGTTTTTATTTTATATTGGTACATTTGCAGTACACAATGAGTACATGCCTCCTGGAGAGTTGGCACACTTCTCAAATTTTTAAACCCCATCCCCTCCCCTCATTCTTCTTTCCCTCTTTTGGCTCCCCTTACTTTTGAAAAAGATCAATTTTCATTTTCCATTATCTATCTTTTCTTTGTTCGTTATAGTTTGGGCTTTTTCATTTAAGCGACTGTGCGATATTTAAGCTTGTGTCTGGCATGTTTCATTTATAACATTAGCCAGCCCACCCTCCTTTTAAAGAGTGTCTCGAAGTAGTTTATAATCGTAACAAAAGTTCTTTCAAAGCCGAATTACCGGCGAGCACAGGGGTTTGATGCGACAAAACTGTGGTAACTTCAGGATTCTTGAAGGTAGCTATACAATTCTCAGTTTTCTACCCTTCAACAGTTTCACAAATCAACCGAAGACAACGCGTGAGGGAGCACAGAGCGGCATAATTTACGGACGTGCTCAAAAAGTCTGGCGGACTCAAGGATTGTAGAAATCCCCATTGGGGCGGGCTCCACCCTCAAAAGGGAATGATTGACAAAAAGTTATGTTTCTGGCAAAAAATTCTGCGCCGGCCCCCGAAGCAAAAGGAAAAATAGTCACTGCTTTCTACGGGAAGTCGAAGAGCACAATTTCTTTCATCGAAGTCGTCCAGTAGAGAGCGGGTACCTGTAACCCAGAAGTGAAAGACAATTTCCTTTCAGGTATTAGACTCCTCGCCAAAGGAAGTTCCAGCCGGACGACTTTTAACCACACACTCCTGCCGCCTCTCTAGCTCTTCCTATTACATGGACGACTCTTTCGAGCACTGCCTTGTTTAGATCCAACTTCTGACTAGCCCAACTCCCAAGGAGCCTAACTTAACATTGTCATCCTTTCCTTAAACAATCTTTACCTTACGGATCCCCATCAGGGTCAATTAACGCTCTCCGTTGAAGCAAAAGCTAGAGGCCGACGCTTTCTAAATCCAGCGTAGCCAGGCCGGCGCCTGCGCAGGGCAGCACCATAGAGAGGGCGCTATCTCTCTGGTCTCGGTTTACACTCTCTATGGTCTAGCCTGGTCTGTGGCGGTAAGGGGAAAAAGGGAGACTGCACTGCGCAGGCGCCGTGGGCTTTTCTCGCTCTTTTTTTAATCCTTGCACCAAGCGCTCAACCTCATTGGGGTGGAGGAGAAGGCGGCGGCTGCCCGGTCCGCAGCGATAACAGTCGCGAATAATAGGCTGTGAGTACCGTGTTAGATAGAATAAGCGGACTCAGATCTCGGAGTCCTCCCGAGGCCTCTGGTGCCTTCCTGGCGGTGGCGGGCGCCGGCTCTGGGTGGGGGCGAGGTCCGGCGCTGTCATCCGCTCGTGTGTGCACTTTGGGGGGAGGGGGCGGCACTGAGGTGGGAGCCAGCTGAGGAGCTGGTTGTGAGGGTTGTTTATCTAACCTGCAGATCTCTAATCCCAGGCTGCTTTGCACCGGAGGGCGCAGCTATGGGGTCACCAGGGCTTTGTGTGCTTCTGTCTTTTTTCCTCTCGCAGACCCCACCCCGGGCCCCCTTCCTGACCCGGGGCTCCCGGGCCCGATGGAAATGCCCACGAAGCCTAGGACGCGTTTGAAAGGAGTCGGGGACGGCGAGGGGAGGGGGCTAAGGAAAGAAATCCACAACTAGTCCTCCGCGAGTGATGGGTGTGGAGAAAGATCCGGAGGAAAAGGGTGCCGGGGAGGCGGGCGGCCGGGGCTCCCACCCGGGCCAGACAAAAGCTGAGCGAGCGGCGCCGAGGGGAGCAGCCGTCCGGGTGGGATGCAGAGGGTCCCCTTGGTCCCTGGGGGCTCTCCGAGAACTTACCAAAGCTGGGAAAGCGGACAAGTGCTGAGTTAAGCCTGTGCAGCCTCCTCAACTTGCCTTTGTTGTTCTTTGGTATTGGCAGACACTCTGATGGCTACAATGGAGCTAATCGAATTTTGCTTTCCGGTTGTCCGAGCTGCTCGGATGAGTATGGGGTTTTCCAGAGTCTAACTTATTACATAATATTTTAAAAAATAGTTGTGCTTATTTCTAAAATTAAAAAAAAAACACTGAGATGGAAGCTTAAAACGTGTTGCATCAGGGTGAATTTCTGTATAGTGGTGTTTCTTCGTTAATTGCTGACGTGTTTGTAGCACCTGTGAGCTTTCTAAAACATGATACTGTAATGTGTAGTTCTGGCAATGGGAACTTTGGATTCTCCAGTCCTTTGGGAGGCAGTGATGCAGAAGGGTCAAAAGCGAGGAAAAGTTGCATTTGCTATGTACCTGCATGCACCATATTCAGGTGCCACAGATATGAATCAGTTCTGGCCTTATAAATTGTTCATTTTTATGACTGTTATTATTTGTAATGTTTACTGAGTGTTAGCCCATTCGCTCATAGAGGGAATGGGAGAAGAGTAAGGTTGATGCAGAGATCATATAGAGATAAGGGAAATAACACCATGCCCCAGAGTACTGAATATTATTTTAATTCTCTATTTGCCAAGAAAGATTTGATGAACTGTTTGCTTATTCATCTTTGTCAAATTATCTAATTGCACTTGTGTAGCAGTTAAGGCAGATCTTTTTATTTATCATTGTTTATTATGGGCTCGCATGTCGCACTGGTTTAGATTTTTTTTAGGTTAATTTTTATCTAATTTTAAACCATACCTTTTGACTCTTCCAGCAAAGGTTAACCAAAGTCAAACTCCTTTGAAGAGACTTGTTGGTAGTAGAGGTGTGAAACATTGTATCTCCATGTTACACTTGATATGATAAATAGGCTTGGGCAAAGTTTTCACCACAAATTTATATTAGAACTAAAAAACTCATATCTCCTAGTATATGAGGCTTGTGAGTTACCTCACAGATTCAACTTTAGTAAAGGAGGAAAATATTTTTTGTACTGATAGCAAACAAAAATCTGCAGCTTGGTGTGTTATGCTTCAGTCACTTCTGTGATACCATCTCTCAAGTGTAGTTTAGATGATGGGAACTTGCTTTTTATAGAGCAAGATTTCAGGTCCTTAAAATAGTGTACATGAGTGGTGAGAACTGATTGGCCAGAGGAACATTAAGTTTATTATTCAAATATGTTATATTTTGTTTGGTGTTGAATTTAGATTTTTTTTTTTTTGCTTCTTTTGTTTGGATTATTTTCTTGAATAGTGTCATAATATAGAAGTTGGGTGAGATTCTTTCTTGGGACCAAGACTTAAACTTGTTTAAGACTCTATTAATAATCTTTTTTGTTGTTGTTGTTATTAATAATCTTGTACTTGGAAAATAAGCAATACCCTTTTCCAGTATTGGGGATTGAACCCGGGGCTTTCATAAAATAAGCTACCCTCCTATACCTTTTAAAATTTTTTATTTTGAGAGAGAGCCTCCCTAAATTGCCCATGCTGGGCTTGAACTTGCTGTCTTCCTGCCTCACTTTCCTAGGGTGCTAGGATTACAGGCATGAACCACCACACCCTGCTGAAATGAACAATACCTTTATTTTATAGTACTGTTGTAAATATATTTACTTAAGGGTATTATGCTAAGGACTGAGTTTTAATTATCAATTGTGATAGCTGCACATATGGTTGTCAAATTAATAGTAAAAATAGCAGTAAATATGAATGCTTTATAAGCAGAATCTTTAGAAGATTTCTTTGAAGTGAAAGAGGACCTATTAGTTTTTTTTTTTCTGTTAGTCTTAAAAACAAAAGTAAACAAAGAAAAAAATCATTAATGATACAGTTTTTGATTTTTAAAATATTGTTATTGTTGTTATTTTTGTTTTTTGAGACAGAGTGTTGCTATGTAGTTGAGGCTGGCTTTGAACTCATGTGTAGCCCAGTATGGCCTTGAACTCTTGACAGTCCTCCTGTCTCAGCCTTTCAAGTGCTGAGATTAAGACATGTACCACTACGCTCAGCTTGTAAAATGTAGTTTAAAAAGTAAACTAAGCTGTCTTTATTTAGTGCCAGTGGGGGCACCATCCACAAGTGTATGTGTATGTGTATGTGCTAGACTGACTTTTATGTAGAATTTAGTGTGTCTGGCTTGAGTAACTACTGCTGTAAAATTTCTTTAGTTCAGATAGTGGAACTGAAACACCACAATTTACTGATTGCTTTTAGCTTCCTTCTCTTGCTTTCCTGCCCTCTTTATGCTCAAATCATTACTGCTACACCAAATGATTTGCTTTTTCAGATTCTTACGGCATGTGACATCCTGCCTGTCCTCAGAGTCCCTGGAGAGCTAACTCAAATATACTGAAATGGTGGCACGTCTTCCATAACACCTTTGTTAGCTTCTTGTTCCCTTCCTGGAGGTCGCCTCACTTCTTGCTGTTCCTGGGATATCTGTCACCTTCCTTCTTGCTTAAGTTCACTCCTGGGCATTTACTGTTTAAATCCTTAAAGGCGAACAATGTCTTTGTAGAACATATGTTGTGGCCTCTGTTACTTACTAATGCAATTTGTGTAAATAGTGGAAACTGTCTATGAAATAATAAGTATGTTGTAACATGGACCAATGGGATTTGAGCCTTGGAAGAACTCTGAGTTCCTGTAATCTGACATTCTTTCTACCTTATGTCTGCTACATCCTGATTATCAGCCTCACCTGGAGGCATGCTTCTCGCTTCCTGCTCAGGCCTTGGTTACCAGGAAAACTTTAGACTGTACCAAAATCTGTCCCATATCCATTTACTTGTTGACTAGTTATTTCCCCTGCAGCAACATGAATTAAGTCTGTTTCTTTTCCATATAATAGCATTTTATATTTTCCAGGACAGTTGCTAGATTTATCAATTAGATTATTTACTAAACTCATTTTAGCCAGCCACCAGGTAGCAGGAGTACAGTTGAGCGTACATACACAGTCGCTGTATTTCAGGGGCTTTCCATTTAGGAGGGGAGACAATGCAGCGTGAATTGATGGCAGCTGTAATGGAAGTAGGCCCACAGCCCAACATCTTTTGTTCCCTGCTGGTTTATTTATGTTTTGGCGCTGGCAATGGAACTCAGGGCCTAGCTAAATGTGCCCTAGCAGTGAGCTGCACCCTTGAGCCCCTTCCTGGCTTAATGGAAACTCGCCATGCTTTCTTTAGGCAACTGTTTTTTTACAGTGTTTTTAAGTGCAGTGAATACAGCAAAACAAAAGGTTTTGATATGACCTGACCAGAGTATGCAGCTTTTCTTAGGAAACTGTATCGCGAATTTTCAAACTTGACTGTCAGGTGTACTCTGATTCTGCTACAGCTAGTCACAAGACTTTGAATTAAATGATTTATTTGTATTATAGTGTTTTCATTTATAAAAAACTGGAAGGGAGAGCAATGTTGATAGTAGCATGTACTATGTGATTATAAGGATTAAATGACATAAGACATGTAAAGTGCTAAGGATAGTAATGACTGGGGTATGTTAAGTGACATGGTTGGAGTTAGTATTGCTAAAAATGTTGTAGTAGTTATAGTAAGTCACCAGAATAACTTTGGGAACTTAATAAATTATAAGGGGCTTGGCCTTATTTTGTTTCTACCATCTAGAGCTTTTGATCAGTTAAACATGCGCAGGACCTTGGTAGCCATAGCTTTAACACCCTCCCCCCATGATTTTTAAATGAGAACTCTGCATACTATTTATACCCTTGGTGATTGGATTAGCTTTTACAAATTTAAAGACTTAGATCCTTCTCAAAGACTTAAACAAACAAACAAACAAACAAACAAAAGACTTGAATGACAGATAATGGCATCTGGGGGAATGACACATCTGTTTATTAGTTTAGAATGCATCTTAAACTCTGTTCTTCTTTTTTGTGGAGATGTAAATGTGTGTCTTCATAATAGTAACCTGTGAGGTAAGTTGGGGAGGTCATGTCACAGCCCTGTGGCCTGCAAGATGAGAAGGAGAGCTGGGCCCTGTGTCTCTTAGCCCAATGTTCTTTTCCTGTGAACTGCATGATATCTTGGTTACATAATTTTATGGCCTTGTATTGAAGTTGTAGTTAATAAAGTTTTCTGATCTTTTTGTTATGCGAATATCTGCCTAACTGGATTTCCTCTTTTCCTTTAGTGCATATATACTTGCTTTTAAAAATGTAAATTTAAGGTTTTTTGTTTATATCTGTCTACCAAGATGTAACTGTTGGGGGAAAAAGCCAAGAACTGGCCTGTGGTCATCTGTTACTAGAGCCTTCTTTGTTCAGGATGGCTGAGGTCAGTGT